ACTCTTAGGTGAGCAGACTTAGTCAGCCTGTGTTGCCCTAACAATATGGCAGGTTTTGGATCAAGGTCATGCCACCATGCTGAGACACCCACACTGCAAAATGACTGAGCAATATTGACCTTCCATTCTGAGGGAACCCAACAGAGTCACATGCCATCTTCCATAGCCTGAAGCCAGACTCCTATGTTCTCAGAGGTAAGGCCTTCAAAGTGAGGGGCATCCTTCCAGCCAGCAAGAAGTCAGTTGAAGTCAAATCACTGTTCTTGCCCAACAGCTTCTGTAATTGGTGGTACTTCACAAGACTGGGAGAGCAGAACCATTTGCTGTACCAGTTCCTGAATTGACTGCACCAAGCTTGCCTGGTCTTCAGCCATGGAGATGGCTGCACCAGCAGCTTGGTGTGCTGCCTCTGCAGCAGAGGATGTATTTGGGTGAGGTGTTGGTGGATGTTGGCCAACTGTGGCACCATCTTCAATATGTGTTGGGACAATGGTGCTCTGAGGTGAGTCTAGAGGAGCTGATGCAGGTTGAGTGGGTGTGGTCATTGTTGCTGAGTTTCTTTAAGAGAAGGACTGAGGTCAGATCATGGTTTCCTGCTACCAACTGTTGAGTTGCTGATTAGGGGAGAATAGTAAAAGTGGCATGGATTGGCCTGTGGCAGGCCAATCCATCCCAATATACATATAGGCTACATAGATAGTCTAATGGAATCAAATTCCGGTGCCTTAAGGCTGCGCAAGGGTCCTGCACTGCCACTCTTGGCACACACTCGACACAAGTTTGTAATCGCGAGAAGCTGACCTGGTTGTCCGTCCGCTCAAATATGGATGGGGGTGAGAATTGATTATTATTTTATCCTGCAGTCTCTTTCTACTCCACATATGGGCATGCTCCTTAATTCCAATGGAATATCACGGTTGGCATACTCTCAAAGTTTTAGCCGTGCATGAATCCGCGAAGTTGGTTGTGGATGCCGCGACGACGTGTGCCCTGTATCCTGTCTGTCTCTTCCAAAGCGATTGTCCTCATTGGTGTTCTTCACACAGAAACAATAGACGACCGTGTCACGAAGCTGGAGTCGGATCAAGACGTATGGGAAGGTTTGCTGGCATGGCTGAGGGAAGGACATGGAATGAATGTAGACATGGCGAGCTTGAAGGTGGCATGGGCGAAGACGGAAGGTACGCTGACATTCGTTTCCCTCACTGTCGTCGCAACTGATTCGTTCAAATTCAGGCGAGGACCGTGGACTCGTAGCATTGCAAGAAGTTCGAGTTCGTGAATAGCGCTCGCTCACAGATCTGGGACCAATTATCTTGCAATAGGCTTCACAGTCCTTACTGTCGATTCCGACAACCGCCTTGTTGAACGCGCGTACGCTGGCCGCATTCTTTCCGCTAAACAGCGTACCCAGTTCGAACGCCTCTGGAAGTATACTTAATGCTGTTCAAGCCGTATCACTGTACTTGGCTGCGCATCGGCAGGATCCCCACTGTCATTGGGCCCCGTACATCAGAACGCTGCCGGCTGACTTCCCTGATCATCCCGTGAACGTGTTCCTCGTCCATCAACACCATCCTGACAAACCGAGTCACGACCTCTGGGATCGTTTTGCTGTTCTGTCGTCCGGCCCGCCAACATTTCTAGCATTGCTGAATGAAGTAGTTGCAAGATGCAAGCAAGATCTTAGCGCCATCAGAACGTATCTATCAACCCATCGAAACCTCTTCAGATTGCCAGGTGACTTCGACATCAAAGACCTCCTGTGGGGATGGCTTAATGGTGAGGTGATTCCACAGCTCAGGTATTCGTCTCATGTTGATGTGCACCAGTGAACACGAGACAGGTTTGGATGGAGCTCGGTTTGAAAAGAGAAGACAACCTCACTTTAGCCCCAATCTTTGACATGTGCAATCACACCGCCGGGTCCGGGGGCGAACTCAAACCTTCACCATCTGGACGGGAACTCTCACTCTGTGTTCCATACAAACTCAGCAAGGGACAGGAAGTGTGCATTCAGTACGGTGTTCACAGCAATGTACAGCTTCTTGTCGAATACGGGTTTGTCCTGGATCTACGGCGTTGCGACGTCTTAGAGGTACGAGTCGCCGACCTCGTGCTACCCATGCTTCAGACGGAAGGCAATCGAGAACAGGAGATGCTCACAGCTCTTCAAGCGAATGGATACTTCATGTACGCCATGTTCTGAATTTCTGCTGCGCCGCTAACGCTCAAACAGAAAAGACTGGGCATTACACGTTTATCCGGAACCTGCAGCACCGTCCTATGGCCTGATTGTTGCACTGCGTCTGTTGCACAGTGCTGCCCCACCCGATGACTACTTGCATTGGTTTGAGATCCTTTGGAGTGGTCAATTCTCGGAAAAGTATCCCCTTATCGACGAACGCGTGAAGAGAACGCTCTCCGACATGTGTTTGCAAATTTTGAACAGAGCAGAACATCACTTAGACGTTTTGAGTGAAGTGTCGAGTTTCGCACATGATGTCAGAACACTATGGGAGGAAGAACGCGATGTTGCGCTGGCGGTTCAGCAAAGTCTTCTTCATGATCTTCTAGAGTTTGATTGACGCAACAGGGTTTGTATCCTAACTTGGTTTAATCCATGATCACAATTGACAAACATCTCCGGACCCGATATTCTGGAACACTTACTCAGATATTTTAGCCGGGATGGTGGAATATGGCATGACTTCTTGGCGCCACCTGTTCAGTTTGCAGGGTCGCCCTTGATTGTACGGTGGCTCATCCACTAAAATGGTGAGCATTGTCCCACGACGCACGGGCCGCCAGTTGCTTGAACCCGATAGACTCCCGGCAAGAACGGGCTCTCGGCGGAATTGTCTCGTCGAAACCGACGCTCACAGTACTGGAGCTATGTATGCCCATTCTCGCTTGGTCATGCCCGCCGCTTCTTCGATCACAGGCAGGGGCATTTCGGCGCGTAAGTTCCGAGCTGTCTGTCAGACTGTATGAGGTCTTGAAAATGGGCCAGATCGTGAAATTTGAGATCTACTAGAACAATGCACAATGACACAGAAACGGTGCTGCGGTGCTCAAGGCAAGGCAAGGCGCACAGCCCTCATATAGAAGTATGACCTTGCGATATCTATGGTGTCTTTAATATGCTACCATGCTTGATGGGGTGAGATGCATTTGAGCATTTGAGCATTGGAATCGATATTTGTGGCAACGGCCGTCCACATAGACGTTGATCATGAGACGGTGAACGTTGATGTTCAGTGTTGAATCCGTACGTGAGATAATGGTTAAAGAAACGCAGAACCGAGATCCCCGGATCCGTACTTGTTGTTGTCAGCTTTGAAGAAATCCGAGAACTGGCTACTACGCACCATTAATTGCCGATAGCCCGACAGAGACCAGCCCTTTGTCGCCGCAGCGTCCCTAACCTCCCTTCCAAGCCTAAACCTCCAATTTCGATCGTTCTTGGAGTTGAGATAATTCTTCTCCAAACAGATTCATGGAGCAGATTGATCGATATGCTCAAAGGTGGGTCGCACTTTGTGGTTCTGTGGTTTGTGGGCGCATGGAGCACTCTGCGAGACGACTGCTTAGGGACGAACTTTGTTATCATGATGGAAATCAAGAACGTACTCTTTCCATGTGCTCTGTGTTCGTGGGCACTGGAGCCACTCATTACTATCCGTCGCTGTAAGCTACGGACAATCAGGTGGCAGAGCTAGAAGAAGTCGACGGCGCGTGGTAAGCATGGGATTCTACTCTTATCATGGAATATACCAAGACGAACCTTTCCGACTAGACACTTTGATCTCAAGAATTTCGCAAGTCGACCGACAGTTTCAGCTTCAAGTGGTTACTGTGACTTTCAAGCTCAGCGATGTCCGAGACAGGTCGTCAACAAGTGTGTTGCATCGAGTAAAGAAATAATCCTCATAGGATAGTAGGTAGGCGAGGGACGAAAATGGAATAGCCAAAGAGTTTTCACGGTAGACAATCACCAACTCAAGGGGTCGTTGCTGAAATGGCAGTTGCGAGGGTAAGTCGCAGACGGTGGCCAAGGCCAAATTCGAAGCGGAAGAATTGCCCCTTGCTACGTGGGGTCAGCCCCGCAATGCCGAAGTCGGCACGAACAAGGGGCCAAAGTTTTCAACGCCTGTGCTTCCTGTTGATGATACATATGGTCCATGTCAGGCGTGATCTAATTGGGGAAGACATAAATTGTCTTTGCGAGACAACTCGCCGCTCAACTAAACAGGCGAATCTGCAGGGTTCCTCCAGGAGCCCGAGCACAACTAGAGTTCCACAGGCTGGTTATTGTGAATCTTTGCAGGATGATATGTAGCGCCGTGGTGCGATCTGTATTGATCATTGAGAGTGACAAATTTGCCGCGCAACGCAGGTCAAACAAATTTATAACCCCGGTAGCGAGTCCGAAGCAATTAGTGACGAAGTTATGTTCGGTGCAATATATCTGTGACCAGAACATTCACTCATCGTGTAGAAGGTGCAAAGATGGTGGTCGCGATGACACCTGGAGATGTATGTGTGCGAAGTTGAAGAGCCGTACCTCCGGCCCTGCGAACTTTTCCATCCGGTGCCAACCCTCACTTCAGTCACCGACCACATTTGGCCCTTGTCGCTGGTCCGCACATGGCCGCGCGATTCAGGACAGGTAAAGTCAAATGCCAACTCTGGTTACTTTCCGCTCAATAACATTGGAATAGGACCACGAACGTACGGACCATCAAAAGTACCTACAAATTGCAATGTATGCAATCTTTATTTCTATAATGTTCGTCAACCGTCTCATCAGATACACGCTTCAGCGAGGTGCAGACTGCACCTGGGAAGGCTGCGTATACCGCCATCCTTGGAACGACAACTACCCAGGGTTCCAAGCTTCCAAGTGGGCATATCGTGACGACAACCCGCGTCTCGACTCCAGCACAGGTGGGTACTCGCCCCATTCATCGTCCGCAAGGCCTTCATTCCGGCCAGGGGTGACACGCTCTGACCGTGTTCGGCCTCGACCATCAGACGAATACGACGACCGAGAAGTGGGCGCGAAGAGGCAGAGGACGGACGATTGGGCATCAAACGCGAACTATAACGCGAGCTCTGATAAGGAGTCTTCGTCGGGTACTGCCTATTTGAGCCAGGCGACCGCGCCACCGCAACCAACGCACACGCGCTTTGGCACAAGCAGCCTCGACAGTCCAACATCCAACAACGTCTTTGTTGTCCCATCCCGTAACGATCCTCGCACGAAGTCAGGACCACCGCCACGAGGAGCTAGCAATTCGCCAGCACTCAACAATTCCGGCTTCCTCTCTCCCTCGCAGACCCCACCACTAGGCGGTGGTGGAACACTCGACGCGATGTCGTTTGGCACCGGCGTGACAGGGGATGCACGAGCAAGGGATATCCTTGTACCTGAGGCGGGGAATATCCCACTTGATCAAATACGAAACCCTAATGAGGTGCTGCAGTTTGTCATACGGTGCGTCCTCTATCCCCTACCGTAGCTTACCTATGTTCATGTTTCCTTAGACGTATGGCAGCTGCTGTCCGAACCAATGCGACTCGAGAAGATCTAGTGGCCAAACATCTTGTGCTGAAGGGCCTCCGTCAAACCATTGTCCCTCTCCCCTTATCTGGTCAACCCAACACCAGCAGCAAGGTCGAGGAACAGCTCGACTCTTCTCGACGAGAAATACATAAGGTCGAGCAGAAGCTGCAACGGTATTATATCGAGGCCGAAGTAGGGTGGCGCCAACTGGGGTTGACTTTTGCGCTGGGACACTTACCGAGTCTGGCGGAAGTGAGGGACGTGGAGGGTGTGAGGGTGTGGATCGATGGTATCAAGAACGATATTGGGAGATATCTCGAGGTAAGAATGCAAGACGACCTCCGGAGAGCTGAGGCGAGGGTCGTCCAAGCTGCCAATGCGCCCAGGCCAAGGGATGACGAAATGGAGCGCCGGATATTCGAAATCTCCAAGGCGCAGGAAGACATCCGAATTGAACAAGCCAAACAGCGACGGCTAGATAATGCTGGAGTGCTTCATCGGCTTGAGGCACTGGAGCGCGAAATGCACGATCGCAGGCAGATGGATGCGGATGCGCATACGGAAATCGAGAGCGTGACTAAGAGACTCACAGACTTGGAAGACGTGTTTGGATATACGAGAGCGGATCTTGACACGTTGATCGAGAAGATGGATGGGATGGCTGCGAAGGAAGACAGGATTGACGATGTCGAAAAAGAGGTACATTTCTGCCTGGACTCCCTGCTGATTCCCGCTGACTTCTGCATCTTACAGCTACGAGGCATCATTGATTCTGCCATCGCGTCCGTACCGGATAAGCCAACTTTAATCACCACCATCCTCGATCGCATCACGCCGCAGCTTGTTAATGCATTGCAGAAGCACGAGGCACATTATGCTCATGAATTAAAGGGCCTGCGGATGCAGATGGATGAACGTCTTGCACAGGTGGCTAGGAACGGTGGTGTGAACAGCACGGTCTTTGAGGACCAGCCACCGTCCAGCCCGCATGAAAGCGAAGAAGCAATGGAATAGAGGAATCGAGGCCTGGGATGTATACCCGACGATTGTTGACGTTGAATACTTCGTTCGACTCCACTTGCATAGTTTCATTGTTATGATCCATGTTGTAAAAGCTAGTTTAAGTTTGATGGTGCTATCCTCTACTAAGAAGAATTCTTGATGCGATTGGTGCTGTTCAGTTCCCCCAAAATTGTGGCGCGATCTGCCCCCATCGGCGATACAATGAGCTTCGCCGCACCAGCCATTCTGTCCATCTCAGTCTGCAAGTCACCCATAACATCTTCCATTTTCCGGCTGCTATCCTGGTACAGGCACCTTCCAGCTTTCCTGTAGGCAGACGTAACGGCTGTGATCCCGCGCTCTATGAGCTGTTCGTTCATCGTCTTTCGATCTGGCGGCCGAGTCCCGTCCAGCCGTTCTTTCATCTATCAAACATACCGGTCAGTGATCACGGATGGGCATCATGCGACAGAACATACACCAGTGTGTTCCCTCCACATCCGCTGTAGTCGTTCCTCAGCCGAAGCTATATCCTCGGTTGTCTTTGTCTGCTTCATGTCCTCTTCAGGGCCGTTATACGGCTGGGAAGCATCCAGCTCAGGTATCCGTTGCGCCTTCTCGAGCTTCTGGATTCGTGCTACGGTTTCTTCCACTTCATCGATGCGCCGTTCAACGGTATCAACATTGATATCTTTTTCCTTCCCACCAAAGCTCCACTCTGCAAACGAGAAGGTATCTTCAAGTGTCTTCTCCACCGCTAATCTGGCGCCCCTGTCCTTCTGAGTCTGCATTTCCATGCCATCCTTATACTGTCCGACCGTCTTCCGTAGTATCTCCATGGATGCGTTCATCTGATTCATTTGTTCTTCGAGTTTGCTGAGGCCGTCATTGAAAGGACTCTCCTGTTGGATATGAGCAGACAACTTCAGCTCCGATGTGCGTTTCTGGTAGACATCCATTATGTCCGAAAATGCTTGCTGAGCCGTGTTCGCACGCTGGCGGTATTGTTGCGCATTCGCTGCATCAGTTTCCAGTGCCGTCGGTACTGGAGTTTCTACCGGATGGGTCGGCGGTTGGGAAGAGGGTTTGCCTTGTCTGAAGAGCACTTTCAGTCGTGAGGGCATGTAAGCTCCATCATATGTCTCAGATGCCTGCGCCAACTTTCTGTGAGGAACTTCTCAGTCCATGTCCCCTCACGGATCAGAATCAGCCTACTTGATGAACAGCTGTGTCCGCTGGGACGTATTGGGATTCCAAGCCCTGTTTGGCTGGTGGTTGGAGGCTGAGGAGTCTGGCGGCGGTGCCGATTGATGAGTTGCTTGCTGTGGCGTACGAAAGCGAGCCACCTTTGTGGGGGATGCTGGCAGGGGAAGCGCCGAAGGAGTGGCCTCTGGTTCTGATCTTGAAGAGGCTTCCACAGTATTTCCTCCGTATGTCAAGGAGATAGCCCCGCCTTTCTTTCCCGCCTGGAAGTGTGGCACTGAGCTATGAACGGTGTCCCGTAGTCTTGAGCCAACACGTCAGCTACTTCGAGTGGTGTGAGTCACACCTACTGGGAAGAACGCGCGATGTGAGGATTCGCCCACGTGGGCTTTCCGAGGACCAGACGAAAAATTAGATTTGAGTATTGGGGATGGCAATCTCCTTCCTTTAATTTGCGAAACCGATAACCGTCCCAAGTGAAGTACAGCTCTTCTTCATCTACACGCGCGGATTGACAGCATACAAAGGCAAATCGCGGCGTGTTCCCAATCGGTAGCAACCCTTGATTACTTAGCGGCCCAAAGTAGTCCATATATCCGGAACCAGGAGAGTCCTCCTTCCACTGTATAAGAGATGTCGGTGTCGCCATCACCTGTACAACAGCAAGGAGGGTAGAGAGCGCAGCATTTCCGTGGGAAGGAGAAGGGGGGGGGGGCAATCAGGCGGTAGTTTAAGTATGTTATCACATCCTGCCGATTTGATGTAAATGTTCGGCACGTGTTTTTTGGGTTGCATGGTAGAGCTTCGTGACAAAATTGATACCCCGACTTGACATGTGCTCCACCGCCCCTTGTGCCCTCAATCGGATCATCCCTTTCTCAGACGGACGGAAAGAAAAATTCTCTTGATTATCATGCCGCTTTCTTCAGTGTCATAAGTTCAGCAACACTCATTCCTGAGCACTCTCGTGGTACATCGATGTCGCATTGAGCATGAACGGACCAATGTAGGAGACTATGCGTGGAGGTCATGCTGAATTTGTCTTGTGAAAGGGTTCAGGCCAGTGCTGGCAGTGGGGTCTTATCCCTTCTATCTCCGAAATGAATAGAGTTCGCAGGTAACTTAGTATCGTAGTCGCTTATAGTTATCGTTAACACTAGTACAAGCTAGTGATCTGGAAACAAACTTGCCTCGCCCACAAGTGGTAAAGTAAATCGAGCCGGTTAAGCGGCTGGGATATTATCATAGAAGCGATGTTATGGAACGGGCGGCGCAATAAACACGCAGAGATCAAACAAAACTACGAAAATTCAGGAAGATATGTTGGTGGCAACAAGCTGATGTTGGATCAAATACCGAATGCCGAATTGTCGCTTCTCTTCGTCGACTGGAATGTTTGTATTGTTGGTCAAGAGGGTTCGCTGCAGCGGTAACCTGTCCGAGTTGAGCCGGTGTTGGACGGTGACCGTGTGGAGAGGGTGATGTGGATGAATACGCAGAGGAAGGAACGGTGGAGGATTGCATGTTGCTGAACATGTGGTATGTCAGTGTGTAAACAATGCACATCGCGTCCATTTTCCCTACACCTGACGCGCCTTTCACGTCGCGTTTGGGGTCGAGGCGCGTGCTTTTGCTTCCGAAGGAAATGCACGCGTCGATGATAGTGACTTGCATAGGGGGTGGGTGCAAGGGTTGTGGATATTCAACTTAACCATCATTCACTCCTTCAATACCTCTGTTTTCTTAACCATCTCCGGTCATTTCTCTAGCCCACAATGAGGGCGGAAGACTCGGATGCGGACAAGGAGAATGCTAGAATTAGTCCAGAACCACAAGTACGTATATGCGGTCACGTCGGATCAACGCAACCCTCACCCCACTTCAGCGAATCAAACCAATGTCGAACGACTTCGGCGACCAAGATACCATAGATTTTTCCCCTCCAAAGCCACAGGCGAAACCACCTGCACGGCTCATGGTCAGTACAGATGAATACGTCGTTTAAATCGGACTAATTGCTCAATAGGCTCGGAAAGCCGAAACCTCATCCAGTGCAGCGTCAGCACCAAGCAAGAAAGCAGGAGTCAATGCTGGCACAGCTTCCAAAGGCGCAAAGGGTGCATCCGCACAAGCCACAGATACATTTAAATATAAGCATACTCCTGAAGCTGCGGAAGAGCTGATTGTTGAAGTCATCCCGTCCACTGTGATCGAAGGCTACGGCGATGCGAACTGGAAGGCACGGTTAGCAGCCGTGGAGGAACTAGAAGCCTGGGTCAATGAGAATGCAGAAGTTGCCGACTCTGAGATTGTGTTTCGTTTCTTGGGAGGGAAGAAGCGAGATTGGAACGAGAAGAACTTCCAGGTGCGCTAGCACACTGCCTCACATGGTGCTCGCATGTTGACTGTCGTCAGGTCTCCGCAAAAGTATACACCATCATGTCGATATTAGCTGACAAGTCTCCGTCCTTTGGCAAGCCGTCAGCAGCGCTCGCGATACCACATTTGTCAGAAAAGCTGGGTGACATAAAGCTGAAGAAACCAGCTGGGGATACCTTGATTTTGTTCGCGGAGAAGACAAGCCTATCGTTTGTGCTGAGCCAAGGTACTATTCCGCACACTCTCTTGGACATGTTTTCTAAGACTTTTTCCAGCCTACGAGCCCATGTCGAAACAAAAAGCGCCCAAAGTCCAAGCCGATTCACTCATTTGGATTGGTCAGGCCCTGACCGAGTTCGGCATAGCAGGGTTAAATCTCCGTTCCTTGGTCGATTTCCTCAAAGTCGCGCTGGGAAATCCAAATGCTGCTGTGCGCGCTGCCGCTACGTCCACCTTCGTTACCTTTCGTCTTTTCGCTGGGACCGGGATTAAAGATTTTCTTGACGACCTCAATCCCCAGCTACTAAACACTATATCCGCTGAATTCGATAAAGTCGAGGGTACGCCTGCTCCAGAGCCCATTCGAACGCAAGCCGAAGTCTCTGTCGTCGCGGCGTCTTCGTCTTCTGGTGGGGCAAACAATGCGGCTGCCATGGACAGTTTGTATCCCCGCGTTGACCTCGACAAGATTATCTCGTCGCAAGTGTTGACCGACGCCCTGAGCGACGCCTGGAAGGTCAGGAAAGAGGCTATGGACTCTATACAGGCCACTCTCAGCGAAGCACAGAACAAGCGTCTAGAGCCAAATATGGGCGAGATTGCCCAAGTTCTCAAAGCGCGTGTGGCAGACACGAACAAAGCTGTGCAGACTACTAGCTTGGACGTGGTTGCCAAGATTGCTCTCGGAATGGGCAAGCCATTCGAAAGATATTCCCGAATTTTGGTTGCCCCCGTAGCTGGTGTGCTTGCCGATCAGAAGATGCCCACTCGCGCAGCCGCGCTCCGGGCCCTCACCGAGATGGCGAACGCATGCGAAGAGATCGAGACATTCATCCCCGGTATCGCAACCGCTTTGGAGTCAGCTAATCCATTGCTTCGCAGTAACTTGCTCAACTGGGCAGCTGAATGGTTCAAAGAGCATCCAGCCTCATCATCTCTCGATTTGAGCTCGTGGATCTCCCCTGTAATAACTTGCCTGGATGACAAAAGCGGGGATGTCAGGAAAGGTGCCCAGGCAGTCCTACCTACCGTTATCGCGACGGCCGGGGTGGACTCAGTATTGGGAAAACTCGGTTCCTTCAAGGGAGCGACGCAACAAGCTGTACGCCCCCTCATTATGGCCGTAAAGGTTGAGGGTGGTCTTGCGCCATCAAAGCCTGTTGCGCGTCCAGAGGATAGTGCGGCCTCAGTGCGGCCCAAAAAGCCGCGCGTAGAGGAGAAGCCTGCCGCACCTCAGGATCCAGTAGGTCTCTTGAGCCATACTATCCTTGTTAAATTTTGAAACGTCCTCAGGTAACACCTGTAGTATCTGGCTTCGATGACGAGCCAGGGATGGAGGATGCGTCCCCTAAGCCCTTGGGCAAGCCTCCGGCCAGGCTTATGGTGTGTTGGCAAGAGCATTTTTTATACAGATCGCTAACTCGGTGTGTCAGGCGAAGAAACCAGCCGCGCCTCCTGCCGCCGCTGTACCACAGCCGAAGAAAATCGCGGCCGCCCCTGCGGTTGCTTCAGCGAAGTCCGCTAAGAGTGGACCTCCGCAAGCTACTGATACCTTCAAGTACAAGCACACACCCGATGATGCTGAAGGTCTCATTGTCGAGCTTATCCCACCTTCCATTGCTGCGGGTTATGCAGATCCGAACTGGAAGGCCAGATTAGCCGCAGTTGAAGAGATGGAAACTTGGGCTTCTGAGCAGGACGAATCTCTCGACTCCGAACTAGTCTTTCGTTTCCTTGGAGGGAAAAAACGCGACTGGAACGAAAAGAACTTCCAGGTTCGTTTGTTCACTCTGGTCTGGGTTATCGGCTTACCTCGGGCAGGTTTCCTCAAAAGTGTATAACGTTCTGTCGATTCTGGCTGAAAGATGCCCCACATTCGGAAAGCCATCCGCTGCTCTGGCCATTGCTCATTTGACGGACAAACTCGGTGATATGAAACTGAAGAAACCAGCTAGTGACACCCTGGGGTTGTTTGCAGAGAAGACGAGCTTGTCTTTTGTGCTCAGCCAAGGTAAGATCATAACAGATAGGTATTAGTCTCATTAATCTGACTATTCTCATAGCGTACGAACCCATGTCGAAGCAAAAAGCGCCAAAAATGCAAGCAGAGTCCCTTAATTGGATCGGCCAGGTTCTCAATGAATTCGGCGTTGCTGGTCTCAATCTCCGAGCCCTTGTGGATTTCTTGAAGAATGCGCTCGGCAACTCCAATGCCGCGGTTCGCTCTGCTGCGACATCCACGCTGGTGACGCTGCGTCTATTCGCTGGGACAGGAATCAAAGACTTTCTGTCCGATCTCAACCCACAACTGCTCAACACCATCTCTGCTGAATTCGACAAGGCGGAAGGCAAACCTACACCTGAGCCGACTCGCACCCAGGCTGACCTGAGCGGACTTGCGCCAACCTCTTCTGGTGGCGGAGGTGGCGACGATCCTATGGATAGTTTATACCCTCGGGTCGACCTGGATAAGATCATATCCGGGAAAGTACTTGCAGACGCTAAGAGCGATGCTTGGAAGACGAGGAAAGAAGCGCTGGAAACTGCGCAAGCTATTCTCAATGAGGCTGCCAACAAAAGGTTGAAACCCAATATGGGCGAGATCGGGCAGGTCCTCAAGGCACGGGTGCCCGATACGAACAAGGCTGTCCAGGCACTGACATTGGACATCATATCACGTATCGCCACAGCTATGGGTAAACCTTTCGAGAAGTACACGCGTCTGTTCGCTGCACCAGTGGCTGGCGTTCTGGCAGATCAGAAGGCTCCGATTCGAGCAGCGGCCTTGCTTACACTCACCAACATGGCGAACGCGTGCGAAGAAATTGATACCTTCATCTCCGGGATTGTTTCCGCGTTGGACAGTTCTAACCCTCTTCTACGCAGTAATCTGGTGAACTGGGTTGCTGATTGGTTCAAGGACCATCCGGAATCTCCTTTGCCCGACTTGACACCCCTGGCTGGGCCGGTTGTTAATTGTTTGGACGATAAAAGTGGCGACGTGCGAAAGGCTGCACAGGCCGTATTGCCAACGATCATTGCGCAAGCAGGTTTTGAAGTCGTGATGGGGAAGTTGTCATCTCTAAAGGGTGCATCCCAACAAGCTGTTCGCCCTCTGATCATGGCTGCCAAGCCTCTCGCTAGTGGGCCGGCCGCACCTCCTTCTGCAGCCGCACCGTTGACTGTCCGACCTGCATCAAATGCGCCGAAGGCCTTGGTACCGCCGATGGAACATCCCTCGGAATCTCAATCTGCAACAGCCCACCCTCCAAAGCCCATGCCAACGAAAGTGCTTAACGGCATTAGTGGTACTACCGGAGTTCGTTCCTTGCGACTGGGGGCAACGTCGTCCCGACCTGAGTCTCGTACAGACACGAGAGACGATGAACTGCCGCCGTCTGCCACCGGTGCTGCTATGCCGAAGACGAAGATTGGATCGGGGTTAAAGAGGCCCACAGTCGTAAATCAAGCGACTGTCATGGCTGTCGAGGCCGAAGCTATTGCGTCTCTCCCCTTTTCCGGCATGAGTCTCGACAGCAAACGTGTGCGGTTAGGCAGGGATCGTGCAAGATTTGTATTCGAATCCGTCCCTCCTTCGAAAGACGTGATAGATATGCTCCAGCAACAGATGGAGCCACATACTTCAAAGGCGCTCGTTGCGCAGCTTTTCAGCCATGACCACAATGCTGATCGCGATCACATGCTTGGAGTTTCGGCCATGGACGAATGCTTCATCGCTGCGCTCAACGAAGAAGACAAGTACGGTTTGTCCCCAGAAGATGCAATGGCAATTCTCATTGCCAATTCCGATCTTCCTCTTAAATACTGCTCTATCCGTCTACAGGATACCAATCCCACCATGACAATGCGTTGCTTGGAATTAATATCGCACATCCTTGAGCTTCTGAACAAAGCAGACTATACCCTCACCGATGGTGAAGTTGCAGCCTTTGTTCCGACCATGATTGGCAAGGTAAGAAGTCACAACTCCCATTTCAAAGACGTTTCCTGACCCTCTTGAATAGCTCGGTGACTCCCGGGAAGTTACCCGTGAGAAGATACGAGGTATATTCCGTCTCCTAGAGAAGCAATATCCGTACAGCAAGATATTCCAGCTATTGATGGAATATGGTCTGCAATCGAAGAATGCACGAACACGACAATCTTCCCTTGAAGATATGGCAAGTCTTCTGAATCGTTACGGTATGTCTATTTGCCAGCCCTCCAAGGCGTTCCCTGCAGTGGCAGTAATGGTATCGGATCGTGATACCAATGTGCGACAAGCTGCGTTATCGGTGATTGGAGAAGGATATGGTCTTGTTGGCGATGCTATCTGGTCGCATATTGGAGTTCTTTCTCCCAAAGACAAGACTTTGATCGAAGAACGATTACGTCGTCTTGCCCCACCCGCAAAACCCGAACCTCGTGCAACAAATGGTATCCCTCGTAGCCTTGCAAAAGCATCGAGCATTGCGCGAGCTGCCTCACCGGGTCTAACCAAGTCGCACCCGCCGCGAGCAATGTCTCCTGGTCCCTCTAAGTTGCAACCTTCACGAGCCATGTCTCCTGGGCCCTCAGCATTACCAAGCATGAATCGTTCGGGTGGTGGCATTCCGCGTCCAGGCATGTCAGCTCTTCCAGTACCAGGGAGTCGTCCGAAAAGCATGCTACCCTCTCGATTGGGGGCTGTTCGTTCTAGACCAGCCTCCGCATTGGAAGGTGAACTGCCTCAGACAGGGTCAAGCCAGATGGGATACATCGCCGAAACGGATAACACTCCTACACCACGTCGGCCTTCCACGTCTCAGGCAAGACCAGTCAGCCGCACTCATCACGAAACAAAGGAGCCTGACACGATAGAGGGTCTAATAAAGTTGGTCATGAGCAACGACATGGAGGCGTCTATTCGGGCTTTAAAGAAGATTCAGGAGCGTCTCGACGTCGTAGGCGATGCAGGGGAAGACATGCCTGCATTCACCGAACTGTCGCAGAATGCAATCGAGCTCGTTGAAAGCATCCAGATTCGCATGCAGCATTTATTCGAAGATCGCAGCGAGCGAGACGCCAAAACTTGGCGTCTTACAAAGCATCTGATCACCACTCTCAGCAACTTTATCGAACAACCAGCACTTGCTAGATGTCTCAATACAGAGTCTTTGACGGCTTTACTAGAGGAATTGACCCTTCGTCTGCTGCAGACGGATGAAGCACCTGATCCGAAGGGCAAAGACACTTCTCGTTATATTAACATGGTGTTACTGAAATTATTCACCACCGCAGAGCGTATCTCGGTGTTTAGGTATTGCTGTGTTCCTCCCGAAAGAATTTCGCTGATTCACTCTGTCAGAGCACTGTTTACCATCCTGCTTCGACTAGCGCGAGATATGACCTCGCTGACTACCGCTGACTCTGAAGACGCAAAAGTTGTCGAACTTATCCTCAAGTGTATCTGGAAGATGGCCCGATCTATTCCCGAGGACCTTCAAAAAGAGCTTTTGGATCCATGCCAACTTTTTAAATGCATCGAGGCGTTTCTGCAATCTATTCCACCCAATGAGTGGAGAGCGCGAGCGGCAGCGAAGGTGCCTTCTGGGGACTTGCCACTACGCACCGTGAAAGTGATCATTCAACACATTGTCCAACATTATGGTGACGACACCTATGATCAATTGTCGGCGTCCTTCGACGACCCCTCTGCAACGATTGTCTATCCATATGTGTATCGTATTCTGAACGCGGGAGCCGCGCGTACTTCTGAAGGCACCGCGGAGCGCCAGACCCGCCCTCATTCTGAAGTTAGCGCCCGTCCAGCGTCGCCAGAGGTTGTGAACATGCAGGAGGGCTTGCCAACATCAGACTCGGTGACATCCTTACATGGTGAATCCGAAAGCCTCACACCTTCGCGACGTCATGGCTCCATCCTCAGCGAGGCCCCGAGAAGCACTACACCAAGCCGGACTGCTTCCACATCCACGAATGGCTACACTGCTCACGGATCGCCCGGGGATGATGATCCAGACCAGAAGCTGATTGATATCCTGGATCATATATCTTCGGAAACGACAGGATCGCTGCACAAGCAGGGGATCACGGAGCTATACCAGTTCCTGAAAGCACACCCTCATAAACGCACGAGGGTAGACCGAATGCTGGACAAAACAGGTCCACAGTTCAAGAAATATATCATGAGAGCATTGGCGAGCAGGGCAGAAGATGATGAAGAGAGGGAGCTTGTGTTTTCAGACACGCTTTCCAGTATGTCGTTTCACAATAGTGTTCGGATGTGGGCTGATCAATAGCAGAGCTTGAAAGCAACCCACGGTCCATGCCATCCTCACCCCAGGTCACGTCGCCTCAGCGCACACCCTCCATGTCCTCGACACGCCGCGCTAGCTTGGCCGCCAAGGATTTGTCGCCTGAGGAGCAGACGACCTTGCATAGACTGCACGGAATTTTCGGCTACCGCAGTTCTACGGCAGGGAGCCCTGGTCGACCAACATCTGGATCTACGGTAGCAACGCAGGGTGATGATGGGCCAAGGCCGAACGACGTGCTGGCGCAGCTTCGAGATCTCCGAGACCGATAGTTTACCCTCTTTGATGATATGCCTCACAGCAAACTTTCCCGTTCATTAACTTCGGTCGGTACTAGTGTATCTCTATACGCTGTATGATAGTCTCACATTAGCACGCAAATCTCACTCAGCTTCTTTCGTTCCAACGTTTCGATGGCTGTAGCGCATGAAGGCGACACCCGGGGGGGTTGCTCCGAAAATGCCCGCCGAATAGGGTCAAGGTCTTTAGCCTTAGGCAGATCGATGACCGATTTCAACGGGCTAGACATAGCCTTATCCACGTCAATGGCGTATTCTAACAGGGCGGATAGCCGGTTGAATCGCCAACCCCCACAGAGGGAAATGAATGGTCGCGTGCATATAATTATCCCAGATGTTGCGGGGCGCCCCGACTGCCTCCGTATCTCGGCACGCCTCTCGGGGCGCGTCATGGGATGGTCCATACAACAACGCTCACGGCGACACGTTCATCAACCCTCTCATCTCTCTCTTTCATTCAATCCTCGACATCTCTTCCCCATGTCGAGAGCTCTGTGACTCGAGTACATGTGCATATATCTTGTCCATATGGGAATATCTTTTGAACCACCCGGAAAAGAACCATCGATTTCACACCAAGCGATGAGCCACCGGTCAAACTTCGCATACGACGCAGTCATCCTCTTCTGGAGGATGGTGCTCAACCTGTTCTTTCGTGAGATACGGCCCCGAGGCGCATGGAATATCCCACGATCTGGTCCAGTCATATTTGTCGCGGCACCGCATCATAACCAAGTGTGTGCCTCGCTCAAGCATAAGGAACATCGGGTTGAACCGACTTAGTTCTTAGATCCACTCATTGTTGCGAGCGAAACGTTTCGAGAGACGGGGCGACGCATTGGATATCTCATTGCTGCTTCGAGCATGAAGCTCGCAGTGATAGGAACTTGCGCGAAGTGGATGGCTGCGAGTACGTGACTGCCGCAAAGGCCGAATATGTTCCAGAGCTAATGTGTCATCTGCAGTTCCTGTGGAGCGGGCAGGAGACAGCAAAAAGGATGGAACGGGTCTGATTATGCTGCACCCCGAAGATTCAACGCTCGTCCTCGGAACAGGTACAAAATTTACTGCCGAGTTGGGCCCCAAGGCACAGATCCTATTACCGAAGTCCACCTCTCACGCCATTGCCGAAGTCAAGGAAGTCCTGTCCGATACTGAGGTGCGAATCAAGGAGTTTAAGATCGGAGATGGAACCAAAGGGACGAGGCGCGTTAGAGAGAAGATGGAGGAGGTGAAAGCTGCAGGCAAAGAAGGCTTTGACTGGAAGATCGTGCCACATTTGGATCAGAAAGAGGTATACATGCACGTGTACGAGCGGCTCAAAGAGGGAGAGTGTATTGGCATCTTCCCTGAAGGTACCCATCTTAAACTTTCCTTGTTGACCCCTCACTGAGACGTGTGCAGGCGGCAGTCACGACCGCACAGATTTGCTACCTCTTAAAGCGGGTGTCTCTATCATGGCATTGGGGGCAATGGCATCGGATAACAACGTACGCGTCCGGATTGTTCCAGTCGGCCTCTCGTACTTCCATCCACACCGATTTCGCTCCCGAGCTGTTATTGAATTTGGTCGCGCCTTCGAAGTTCCTACAGATCTTGTCGAGATGTTCCAGTCTGGGGGTGATGGCAAGCGTACGGCAGTTTCGAAGCTGCTAGACTTGATCTATGACGGCCTGAAGACCGTGACAGTACGCGCGCCTGACTATGACACACTCATGGTGCGTCTTGCTCTCCTTCGATCCCAACCCTTACTTGACACACTTTGCACTAGCTGATTCAAGCTAGCCGAAGACTTTACAAGACCCCTGGCCAGCATTTGACGTTGAGTCAAGTGGTTGAGCTCAACAAGCGTTTTATCGAAGGATATCTGCACTTCCAGAACGAGCCTCGGGTACAGGCATTGAAACATCGCGTGGAGCAATACAACCGAGCGTTGAGAAACCTTGGTCTGAGAGACCATCAGGTATGTCCTCTGTGAAATGTCAATTCAGCCCCTTGTAACTGGATCTAGGTCGAGACTGCAACTCGTCATGATTGGAAAACGGCTGTTCTACTGGTTTATCGCACTGGCTTGTTAATGGCATGGGCCACATTTGCCCTCCCGGGAGTCATTCTTAATGCACCCATTTTTCTGACCGCTGCCTACATCTCAAAGCAAAAAGCGAAATGTAAGCAGTTCCCAATTTGGGTCCAAGAACTGATCTGATAGCGTTGACAGCGGCGTTAGCAGCTTCAACCGTGAAGCTAGCGGCTCGGGACGTGATTGGCACTTGGAAAGTGCTTGTCTCCCTTCTTCTGACACCCTTGCTCTATATCACCTATGCGGTTATTGCAACATACATCAGTCATCAGTGTCGGCTTTCACTGAAGTATCAATTGGCAACACCCGTGGCGGTCATGGTTGCATTGCCATGCATTGCCTATTCAGCGCTCAAGTTCGGTGAAGCTGGGATGGACGTTCTTAAGTGAGTGCCATGGATGAATGACGGTCGGGAACTAGACATGCTAAATGCTTTTACAGGAGCCTGCCCCCATTGATTCTGTCCTTCCTTCCAGGGCAGCAAAAGCGCCTTAATCGCTTAAAGGCGATGAGGGCGGACCTCTCGAACGAAGTATCCGATGCTATCAACGAGTTTGGTCCCCAGCTTTACGAAGACTTCGATGCCAGACGTGTTCATGTCGCTGCTACCGGTGGTCCGCCGTCCAGCGACGCTGCTCTGGGTATTTGGAGGCGGAAATCTGCCTTAGGTGGCGCGGATGCTCAAGGCAATCTCCTCATTCATCCTATGACTTGGCTGGATGAACGTATCTTTGGCTGGTCACGCAGTGCGAATCACGGAACGAACGCCTGGGGCCATCACCCCAGCGACATCAGCCGTATCACCTCGCCTGTTCCAAGCGATGGAGAAGAGAGCGACGGAGAGGCGAGCGATGGCCGTGGTGATTGGGATGACGTTCTCGGAATGATTGATACATACGAAAAAAGACGACGCAGTCGCAGCGTCAGTCGAGGATCTGCACGGCCGAGCTACAAGGATCTACACAAGCTTGGTCTCGAGGCCGCGGATGCCTCTGGATTACGACATCGCAGCAACGCCGAGCTCGCACAACTCGCCATGACTCCAGCGCATCCGAATACCCAAGATTCTCCCCCGAATTCTCCCCGACGACCAGCCATCGCGCTTGCGAATGGTTCTGATAGCATCATCCCCACTCAGCGCAACGGTTCTCCTCCGTCATCTCCTATTTTTGTTGTGTCCCCTGATTTATCACCTTTGGATGACAGATGTGGCGTACCTGTGACACGAGAGAGGCGGAGGCGCAAGAGCAGCCTAGAAGCATCCATTCAGCTGGCTAGCCTCACGTCTGAACTGCATCAGCATGATCACTTCGGCTCTGCAACGGAAGATCTGAACAAGCGACATCACGAAATCCACCACCACCATCATCATCACCATCCACTACTGCCAGACCATTCGCATCAGGACTGATTTGTTTTTATGCATGGACCGCCTGTCAGAATATCGAGATAACCATGTCTGTACTATTAGTCATTAGTATGGCAATGCAATGCAACTCAACCCCTGTGATTTCTAATGTCTCTACTCAACTACACGCCTCAAAACTCTTCTCATGGCTCGCGTGACTTTCATGGTACTCACAGGGGTTCTGACCGCAGAGGTGTGGACACCGATCTTTGGCGCGGACACAGGGTTTCTTTGCCAACATAGGGTTAGGGTTAGGGTTAGGGTTAGGGTTAGGGTTAGGGTTAGGGTTAGGGTTAGGGTTAGGGTTAGGGTTAGGGTTAGGGTTAGGGTTAGGGTTAGGGTTAGGGTTAGGGTTAGGGTT